GGGGGACATTTTATTATTTTTCTTACAAAATCTGAGACCAAGCGTTTCACATTGCAAGACAAGCACCGGTAACCATAACAGAATGAACAACGCGGGTGCAGCAGCGCGCCATGGTCTCCAGCAGAGGAGAGGATGGCGGTGTTTCAAACCCTCCCGGCGGGTGAGGAGAGCTCATTCCTGGGCTGGAGCTGGCCCTCAGCATCCTACCAAAGGCTCCAGCAGATGCTGGCGGTGTTTGAAACCCTCCCAGCGGGACAGGGGAAGTCATTCTTGGGTCGGAGTCGGCTCGCAGCACCCCGCCACAGGCTCCAGCAGATGCTGGCGGTGTTTGAAACCCTCCCAGCGGGACAGGGGAACTCATTCTTGGGCGGGTCGGAGTCGGCCCGCAGCAGTGCGTTGTAGCTTACATATTTTGTTATATAAGTCGCTCCGGAGTATAAGTAGCAGGACCGGCCAGACTATGTAAAAAAGTGCGAGTTATAGTCCGGAAAATACGGTAATTATTAGTATTAGAGCTAAATTAGCAGGCTAAATACATTTAATATATTTCCAAAACGTAATACCTGTTTGTATCTTGTACAGCCAAGTAGCCTTTATTCTGGACTCAGTACAATTCACCAAAAGTAAAAAGACATTGTACAGATGAAGTAAGCACAAGATAACTTACTGGAAGAAACGGAATTATCATGAGAACCAGAACAAGAGAGCCTGATAACAGTCATGTGAAAATAACAGTTGAAAAGTATGTATGTATAATAGCAATAAAAATATATTAGAATCAGTGTAACTCACTGTGATTGAAACAATAAATCAGTCATAGCTGATTAGTAAATATGACATGAGGTCTGGGAGTTTTTAAGTTTCATTCTTTTATTACATTTTTTTCTTAGATCTGTTGAAAGGTCACCATGGCAGCCTGTGTGTCTCCAACATCAGCTACACAAAGCAGCAAGTATAAGTACCAAATACCTGTCTTGACCACTTCATGTATGGTTTTGTACTTTAAACAATTATGACTAACCTGTTATTTTTTCACCATAGCCATTTGGATCATTGGAGACAGCTACGTAAGGCGCGGCCCAGGGAGCTGCAGAGACCGTCGGAGACAATCTTGGCCTCCCTGACGTCTGCGTCTCCTGGTTCGGTTGGGGCGGACTGAGGTGGAAAGACCTTCTCCCCTTCTTTTTTCACTCCCTGCATGGAAGAGCAGCTCCTCATGTCCTCATCATTCACTGCGGCGGCAATGACATGGGGGTGGTCAGCAGTGTGAAGCTGGTGAACATGATGAAGGACGACCTGCACCGGCTTCAACTTCTCCACCCATATATGACCATCATCATGTCGTCCATCACCCAAAGGCGTAGATGGAGGGCAGGTGTAAAACCTGCCAAAATTGAGAAGGCCAGGAGGTTCGTCAACAGTGTAATGGCTACTTTTATTTCTAGTTTAAATGGTGCCGTTGTTGTGCATCCTCACATCAGACAAGACAGTCCAGGGATATTTTTGTCAGACAGAGTTCATTTCACAAATAGGGGAAATGATATATTTTTAACTAACAATGCCGATTGTCGTAATGGCCAGCTCCAAAAGCAGTGAAAGACTTCCCAGGTGGGAGTCTCACTTCTTTTGAATTTGGCCTTTATGACAGATTTATTTTCAGGCAAACAGGATAAACATATCCCTGACTGTTATAGCTAATGTGTTGATGATGTAATTTATCTGTAGCCATTACACTGTTGAACTGTTCTTCCTTCAAACCACAATGTTGCACTCACTCTGCAGCTCTCTGGGCCCATTTTATTATTTTAAGTTTTTTTTAAATGTGCCGACACTTTGTGCCCTGTTATTTTATAAAATGTAGCATAAAAAATAAATGTTTTTGCTCAATTACTGGAATTTCTTTGGTTAAGACAAAAAAATGAGGAATAATCATTTACAAGTTATTTGTACAACAGGCCCATTTTAAATCCCAACAGTTTCTTAGCAGCCAATAGAAATGTGTTCTTTACTAACTTTACTTGGTTTAAAAATCTTACTAAAATAAACAGTGCCATATTGCAAAACCCAATCATACTTGTTATGTAAATATTAGCTTTGTAGGTATTTTTTACAGATATATATTTGTGTGCAACAAAAACCAAACTTAAATAATTTGTCATTCTTTATTGAAAAACAACAAAATACAGGTATACAGAAAGTGTGGGGAAATGATGATATGAAAGTATTGCTCTTTAAATGTAATACTATTTATCTTTAGAAAGAAAAACTAAAAATGTCCTGTACAGCAACATGACAGAAGAATTGTGGTCTGTCTGTCAGAATGTGCTGAACAGATCTGCTCTATCAAGAGGAGCCTTTTGTGTACGACGTTCCCCTTGAGTAATATTGGTTTGGTATCACCACATCAGCATGCTGAACCAATCTGGAATAAAGACTGCTGATAGAGGATAAACAAGTAAATAAGAGAAAAATTAATACAACTAGGAAACCAACAAAAAACAGCAACCAGCAGCTGCACCTGTGAAGAAACATTTCTAAGAATCATCAAGAAAATGTGGGATGAACAACTATAAATATGTAAACCATGAACCACAAACATCATGAACAACAAACATCAACAAACGTGTTCGTGCGTGTGCTGGGATGTGAAGTGTTAGACCTCCAAGGATCAGGTGCACTCTGGAATGGCCCCAAGCACCAGAAAACCTTGCTACAGAGAACTCAGCAAGGCCACATCCAGAACCGGGCTGACACAGGTCATGGGCCACAGGACACAGGAATCACACAGCATTTCCACCTGAAACAGAATCATTAAAATTAGAATCAAATACAACTGTTGTTCAGTATGACATCAAATGGATTTTTAAAGAAGGCAATTGGACTTCTTTGGTTTCATGACCATAGGAGGGTTGATCTTAAGCCTGATTCATGCTTCTCCTGCGTCAGTGCGGAGACACACAACTCCATTATCCGTCCTTGCGTAGGGCCCCAGCAGGCACGCAAGTACGCATGGAGTCGAGCCCACTTTTTTAAACATCCGTTTAACGAGACGGACAGCGCAAGCTTGTGATTGGTCAGGATGCCGCTGTCGTCTACACCGCCGCCATTGCGCACTCAAAAACAAAGCCGAGGATAACTAGCGGCAGACACGGAGAAACTTGAAGAACACCTTGCAAAAAAACTCTAAAAACATGAACGTGTTTATTCCCTGTGACTGGAGGAGTGAAAAGGTGCACAGCAAGCGTTTTATTTGTGGACGGAAATGACAGGAATAGTGGGTTTAGAGGTGGCGAGCCCACGAAGAGGTGGAGGAGATTTAGACAAATTTGTCTGTTTAAAAAGTCTCTTATGTACAAAAAACACAATATCATCACACTATTTTGGACCGATACATGACAGGATACCACAGAACAGCTCTCCGCCCTCTGCTGTCCTGGCCGGGAATTGCTTTGCAACACTCCCCAGGAGACGGAGAAGTATGAGAGCTAAACGTCTCCGTCCGTGCGTGCGTGTCTCTCCCTGTTGGAGCTGACAGAGAAGCATGAATCAGGCTTTACTGTAGCTGTCGATTGTTGCTTGATAAGCAGAAACTGTCACCTTCAAAACACCTCCTCTGCACAGGTGTTTCTTTGTAAGTAGGAACAGGAATAAAGTTATAGAGGTCAGCAGGTAAAAGATCAGCTAAAATTAATTTCACCATTAGAACAAAGGATGTTTTGTAGGCGTGAGATCACCAAACATGATAGGGTCTTTTAAATCTTACTTTCAGATAAGCTGATGACGTTCTGCAGCTGAAACTGGGGGTGAACTGGCAGGAACTCAACCGCAGAGAGAAAATGAATACCTGCTAGGAACAAAATAGAACAAAAAACCCCCCAAAAAAACCCATACTGCTGGGATTCAACAATACAGCTTATCTGTGCAATAACATATCAAAATGATTTTAGTTTTAAGATAGTTTCTGTTTTTCTTCAATGTAACATCAACTTATCAAGAAATTTGTCATCAAATATATTACAGAAAACTGAGAAGGTTGCATATGCATTTTGCATGTTGTAACTTTTACTCTGAACTTTATCAAGTGTTCACTTACATAAATGTTAGAATATCACCTTAGGTCCCATTCATGCAGACTCTAAGGGATAGATAGTAACATATATGTAACAGTAAATGAAACAGTGCCTGACTGTTTAAAACTCCATTTACAACTTAAGCCTGATTTATGCTTCTCCGTCTGCGTCAGTGCGGAGACACGCAACGCCATTATCCGTCCTTGCGTAGGGCACGCAAGTACGTACGGAGTCGAGCCCACTTTTTTAAACATCCGTCGAACGAGACGGATTACGCAAGCTTGTGATTGGTCAGGACGCCGCTGTTGTTTACAGCGCCGCCATTGCAAAGAGAGCCGAGTTTAACTAGCGGCAGACACGGAGAAGCTTGAAGAATACCTCGCGAAAAAACTCTAAAAACATGAACGTTTAATTCTCCCGTGACTGGAGGAGTGAAAAGATGCGCAGCAAGCGTTTTATTTGTGGACGGAAATAACAGGAAACGTGGGTTTAGAGGTGGGGAGCGCATGAAGCGGTGGGAGAATGAGAGACAAATATGCCCGTGTTAAAAGTCTCTTATATACACAAAAAACACAAAATAAACACACGATCTTGGACCGATACATGACAGGATACCAAAGAACAGCGCTACGCCCTCTGTTGTCCTGCCGGGCAATTGCTTTGCAACGCTCTCCAGGAGACGGAGAAGTAAAAGAGCAAAACGCTTCCGTCAATCCGTGCGTGTCTGTCCCTTGCGGAGCTGACGGAGAAGCATAAACCAGGCTTTAGTGTAGCATCCTGTATGTTGGTGTCAAACTTCAAGGATAAAGAGCTTCGTCAGTGTATACTTAGGCCCCGTTCATGCAGGCTCTAAGTAACATTTAAAAGGATGTCCAATAAAAGGAAGGCTCTTCATGTGTTATGTTCTGTCTGCAAATATCAGTTGTTGGTGTGATGGGTGCTTTGTGTCCTTTTCCAAGTGGATTGAGGCTATTTAGGACATCAAAAGCAGCATCTACTGTGCGCAGGAAATCAACTGTGGCTGCACATCCACGGAACTGTGGATACCTCAGTTGTTGCTCGCAGTACTCAAGAGCAGCAGCCACGCTGCTGCTAAAGATTTGGGCCACACGGTGAACCTTCATTTTTTGATGTTGCCACTGAATGTGAGCCATTTTGAGTTTGTTGCCAAGACGCAAGCCTTCCCTCTCCTGAAGCTTCTGCAACTCCTCAATGTACTGCCAACGTATCAGCTGGCCTTATTCCCTAACAATAACTTTAACAGTTGAAAAGACATTGCGAAGAAGCTTGAGCAGTATATCTATGGTCAGGTCAGGCTTGGGGAGAAATTATGACACGTCTTTAAATAAAGTAAAAATTTCTAGTGCCGAGTGGAGCCAACCCCATAGAAGCACTGATTTGATCTCATTTCAGAGAAAAATAGAACAGGTTAGATGCACCTAATAAATAAAATTACTAACAAACTCAGGAATCTGTTGCTTCACTGTTCTGGTGCTGAAAATATCACTAATGCGGATCAAAGGAGATACACAGATGATTGCACCTCCTATTTATTATTTGGAAACTACATTTACTGCAGCTGGCAGAGGCAGAGATTGTTTCTATTGATACACGGAGTTTACAGAATCATTTTAAATTGTAATAGGGGAAGACTGCAGGAGGGAGCGGTAAAATACAGGGGTCCCCAGCAAAAACAAGAAACTTTACAAGTCTGATGAAACTTGCTGGGCCTTCAGCAGGCCCGTTGGCAGCTCCAACGACCCAGTGGCTGTGCTGGGTCAATGTTATCGAGCTCAGTCCGGCTCGGCCTTGAACGAGCCGAGGCGACGTCGTGCTCTGCTTAAGAAGCGGTGTTATTTTCCCGCTTCAGAAGAAGCGTCCAACGTGTTTTTACGCTTTCTCCAAGACATGTCACGTCGCTAAGTTGTTGGCGCCGCGCGCTAACACGTCAATAGTGCAGCATAGCCTGCTGGAGGTTTTAAGGGTTCAGATGAAACACCCGACCTCTCAGGCTGCTCACACATCGATCTTAAGTTGTCGCTGTTGCGCTCACATCGTAATACAGTATTAGATGCGGTTAAAGTCAGACATAAGAAACTAAATTTTACATGAATAAGTGATGCTTAGCCTGGTGGGGGGAGGAAAACCTGGCCTAATAAGCACTGGAGGAAACCCTGTCAAGATCATCAACACTCGTTTATCTTAATGCTACTGAAACATGTAAACCAAAAAGCATTATATCCACTGCTACCTTTCTAATTTTAAACTCAGTAACTTATGCTGTAACTTTACCTTGCCCTGCCTGCTCATCCTTGCTGCCCACTGGCTGTGATCACAAGCGACAACATAGTAGTTCCCGCTGCTTCTTCGGGAAACAGCGCCAACAAAAACAAAAAAACGTGGGATCTTGTCGGCGTGGCGGTGGGATTTAAGGGAAACCCTGTATGCCCTATAGACTTATGGAGACTAACACCAAGCACTATCAAACAACTCACCGAGCTGCAGTATTTCTCCGGTCAGATCTGTCTCCGAGTTCGTGAGCTCCACGAGCGGTCAGCCCGCGCAGCAGCTAGGCGCCACATCGGTCAGACATGCACCGGCCTGACCGCTGGGGAGAACCGGATGGAAGAATGGAACACAGAAGTGTCCCTCCAAGCGCTCCGTCATATTTCAATGATTTCAACCCATTTTTATATCAAATGCACTGGGTTTTACCCATCGACATATGCCCTATTAATTATTTTACCGTATTTTACATCTAAATTTCATGGTTAAACAGTACATGCTACATGTTAAAATGATAGTTAGCTAGCTACTTCGATAAACTCAGCTAGTTTAAAGGCGGCAGTGACATAAAATACAAAAATATATTTTAACTTACCAAAAAAAATGAAGTGGAGACCCCTTGGACGGTCTATTAGTGGAATTAATAACACAGCAAGTCATTTTGTCCAACAATTGCACCAATATTATCCAAAACAGAATTCACAAGCACAGAGACTCAAAATCCCGAAACAGTTTCCAGGAGAGACCGAGGCTGTACTGAGGCCTTTCCACGGAGCTAGCTCTGTTGTCACGTGGGTCTGAGGCGGCGGTCACGTGTGTCGGATGCTCATTAATTATACAGAATTTTAGGCTTTCAATACACTTAAACAGAAGAGTGAGAAAAAAATTCACCCCCCTCAGAGTTGTCATGAGTGTAAACTAGATAATTTAGACAAAAAACATGTTTTGGTACCAGGCTGTAAACATGTTTATTTCTGCTGTAAAAATGGCATTTTTAACATGGGAGTCAATGAGGATTTGCTCGCTTCTGGTACCAGCCCCCAGCGGATGAGGGTGGAACTGCAATTTTTCTTATTTCCGGGTTGGGACCAATTTTAGAGCCGCATTGTGGGGGCTTGGGGGGCACACTACCATCACTTCTGCAGCAGTGCGTGCATCGGGAGGATTTCTCCCCACCTCTTTCACCAGAGGACGGAGGTGGTGAAAGCCAGATGATGCCTCCACATGTCTTCAACACTAACAGGCACTAATTTCTAGAGTTTATCAGAATTTAAAAGGTAACTCTGTGGTAACGGTTTCAGTCCTACAATGATTTTGTTTTTTATTCCTAGACTTTAAATGAAGGATCAGAGTAAGTGCAGCCGACAGACACAGATGAACAACACAAAAGGAAATCTTGTTCCCTCTCCTGGACGCAGGTCACCAGGGCCCTCCTCTGGAGCCAGACCTGGAGTTGTGGCACGTTGGCGAGTGCCTGGTGGCCGAGCTTTTACCCATGGAGCCCGGCCGGGTTCAGCCCAAAGAGGACACCCCTTTCCATGAGCACTCGTGGGAGGGGCAAAAGTGGTTGGGTGCATTGTGTGTCGGGTGGCAGCCAAATACAGGGACCATGGTGGTCTGATCCTCAGCAACAAAAGCTAGCTCTCGGTACGTGGAATGTCACCTCTCTGGTGGAGAAAGAGTTGGAGTTGATGCATGAGGTTGCGAGGTTCCGACTAGACATAGTTGGACTCGCCTTAATGAATGGCTCTGGCAGCAGAACCAGTTTCCTCGAGACGGGCTGGACACTCTAGCACTCTGGAGTTGCTCCCACTGAGAGGCGCCAAGCAGGGGTGGGCATAGATTTTGCCCATTACCCTGGTGAACGAGAGGGTAGTCTCCCTCCGCCTATGTGTGGTACGTGTGTCCTGACTGTTATCTGTGCTCATGCAACAAACTGCAGCTCAGACTACCAACACCTTTTGGAGTCCTTGGAGGAGATGCTAGAGAGCACTCCTTCTGGTGACTCCTTCGTTCTGCTGGGGGGACTTTAACGCTCACGTGGGATACGACAGTGAGACCTGGAGAGGTGTGGTTGGGAGGAAGGCCCCCCTGATCTGAATCTGAGCGGTGTTTTGTTACTGGACTTCTGTTCATGTCATGGATTGTGGCGGCAACCCCCAAACCCGCTGGTGGACACTGGCAGTTAGGGATGCCATCAAGCTGAAGAAAGAGTCCGATCGGGTCTTTTTGGCCTGTGGGACTCCAGAGGCAGCTGATGGGTACTGGCAAGTGGAATGCGGTTCAGTTGTTCATGGAAGAAATAACCCAGGAGTGGGAGGAGTTCAGTGAGACCATGGAGCGAGACTTCTGCATGGAGATTCTGGTCCACCATCTGGCATCTCAGGAGGGTAAAGCTGTGTGCTACCAACACACTGTGATGGAAGTGACTGTGTGCTGCTGACCAATACTTGGGATGTTGTGGATCAGTGGACGGGGTACTTCGAAGACCTCCTCAATCCCACCGGTGAAGAAGCAGAGTCTGGGGACTTTGGATTGGCCTCTCTTATTTTTGGGGCCGAGGTCACTGAGGTGGTCCAAAAAACTCCTCGTTGGCAAGGCTCTGGGAGTGGATGAGATCCGTCCGGAATTCCTTAAGGCTCTGGATGTTGAAGGGCTGTGTTGATAGATGTGACTCTTCAATATCTCATCAGAGGCAGTTCCCACTGGACTGGCAGACTAGGGTGGTGGTGCCCCATTTAACCCCCAGAGACCCACGGTTGTAATATTACAACATCAGATTTAAGTCTACAAAACTAAACGTTCCCCATTTTTTTTCTTTTTAAAACCACATTTACATTGCTAATAGGTCCTATAGAGCTCCGGGAGTTGACGTCACTTCTCCCGGCATGCAAAAGTTCAAATCGAAACGGCGCCATATTGGCAGGTAGAAGCCAGCAGCTGGACTTTTTGTTATTGTCAGAAAACTCAATCAGACAGGAAATATGGTAGATTCCTGTTGTGCCCCAGGATGCAGAACAGACACGGACAACATAAGGAATGAGCCATCTACAGGATTCCCCAAGATCCGGAGCGCCGCAAACGTTGGATCGTTGTAATAAAACGCGCTATGTGACCGGGCTGAAATGAAGCTGTGGGATCCCGAGAATAAAGGTTTTCGCTTATGCAGCGGGCGCTTCATATCAGGTACTTAAACCAACGTTTCCTCAACTGTGTGTGGTATTTATTTTAAATGCTTTTATTACGATTCTTAGTGGGCTTCCTAAACTTATTTTGGCGTGGCTTTTTCTGTCTTATTACTCATAGCAACAAGTAAACATCACGTAAAACTGTGCCTCGTGATTTCTGGGTGCTGCCGTTTACGTGTTTTATGATCACAGCAATTAACCAGCTAAGCTGTATTTAATTTTTAAGCAATGGTTGATCAATTGTCAGATCACACATAAAAAGCACTTTGGATTGCTATTATCTGTCTCACCGAGACAGATCTCAGACAGATCCTGAGACGCTCCTGCCTGACATATTTATTTTATTCACGGAAAAAAAAATCAAACTAGTGATTTCTCTTGGCGTTCAGTTTATACATTCAAACAGCACAGCACTCTATTTAAACTACTTACGTGTAAATCTGTTATTTGTCCATCCATCCATCCATCCATTTTCATCCACTTATCCGGAGTCGGGTTACGGGGGCAGTAGCGTCGAGAGGCCCAGACTTCCCTCTCCCCAGCCACCTGAGCCAGCTCTTCCAGGTAAATCCCAAGGGGTTCCCCGGCTAGGTCCGGTAAGAAGTCCGCTCCGACAGCTTCTGGCGTCGGAGCGGGCAGTAGCGTCGAGAGTCCCAGACTTCCCTCTCCCCAGCCGCCTCCTCCTCCGGGGGAATCCCAAGGGGTTCCCCGGCTATGTCCGGTAAGAAGTCCGCTCCGACAGCTTCTGGCGTTTTTAAAAAGTATCCCAGGGGCACGGTAAGGGTCGTAGATGTTTACTCTGTTTAATTTCTGACTATATAAAACGATTTCTTCGGTTTTAAAGTGTGAAGTAAACTCCGACGAAGTAAAATCCAAGCTGATCCCGTTCACGTTCATGGTTAAGATCCATGTTTGTTTAGCTTCTTTTACCTGCCAATATGGCGTCTACTAACTGAGAGTCACGTGGGGTCCGGAGCTCTATTGTTCAGTTCTGCAACACTATTGGCTGTTAAAATGTGTAAATAGGCCCGTTTATCTGGCCGTGAAGTCAAACAACCTGAGAGCCCGCTTTGGAGAACATTATCTTGTAGTTTTCAACAGGAGAAATCAAGACTCAAGTAAGTAAAAAGCTTTAAGTATTTTTTTCTGTGATAATTGATGTGTGTAGATCATACAGATTTTATGACATCATTGAATATACTGATGATGTGAGATTCTGAGCTTGTTTTGTCCATGTTGTAATTTTGAAACAGTGGGTCTTCGGAGTAGCAAAAGTTGGGTGTGCACCCTGCACTTGAGGGAGTTTACTTTCCACTTGTTTGATGGTGAAAATACTAGGATAAATATTACTGTTTAATCAGTTTGTAATGTTTTTGATCAGTTTTTAATGTTGCAACAATTTTGACATATTTTACAAATTTGATGTTGGATCAAAATACAACTTTTTGTTGTACTAATATAATGTGTTGCACTATACTAGTAATTAGGATTGAAAGATTTATGTGGCATAATTTGCAATATACTATAGTGCTGGTTTTCTTTTTCCTGGGTTCTGCTTGGCTGGCCAAATAGCTGCTTTTTGAATGATAAGGTGATAATGTTCTGGGAAGTAGGGGTGTAAGTGCTCATAGCATGACAAAGGGAGCAACTGATACAATTGCTGATCTCTGGAATGTGTGAATCTTTTGTGTTGGCATATCTAAAATTAATTTGCATTGCAATTACCTGACCTGGAAACTAATCTGCTATTGTAACTTTCAGCATGCCTGAAACCAGGAAAAGCCACATCAGGTACTGTGTCCAGGATGCTATTGAAGCCATCCAGAATGGAGACAGTGACTTGGAAATGTCATTTGAATCAGATTCAAATGATGAAGAGGAGAATGAAGTTATCTGTGAAGTGGACAAGGAAAATAAATTACCCAATGGCCAACTAACATCTGATGTTCACATCATCCCAACAGAAGCAGGGCATTCTGATTCCCAGACCATGTGCCATGACAGGTATCGCTGGCTGAAAAAGAATTTCATCAGTCCCAGTACTGATTTTTCTGGTCAGGATGTCACTAATGGTGTCCAATCCCTCTGCGGACCACTGGAGTACTTTCAGAAGTTTGTGACAGAGGACATGATCAAGGCTCTGGCAGATAACACTAATCAGTACAGTGTTCAGAAGAAAGGACACACCAACACAAAGGAGATAGAGCAGATGATTGGCATGTATCTGAAGATGGGCCTTGTCCAAATGCCTGGCATTCGCATGTACCGGGAAGCAGACACACGATACAGTCCAATCTCAGATGTAATGTCACGAAACAGATTCCAGTCTCTGTTGAAATCATAACATTTTGTGAGCAATCTAACTGTGTCTGAGAAGGAACAAAATGCTGACAAACTCTGGAAACTCAGACCATGGCTTGATGCTTTCGGAGAGAAATGCCTAAAGGTGGTCCCTGAAGAACATAACTGTTGATGAAATGATGATCCCTTTCAGGGGGAAATTCAGCAGCATCAAACAGTACATGTGTGGCAAGCCAAACCCATGGGGCTTCAAATACAAGTTACCACTGAAGTCCTGCCGCTGGTACCTTTATATCTTCTGGCACACCATTATCCTAGCTGTGATCAATGCTTGGCTCCTGTACAAAAGGGACTGCAATGCCTTGCATATTCCAAAGAAACAGGTGCTAAACAAGAGACTTTCAGGCCCAGTTGGCATCATCTCTTCTCCTGATTGGCACAGGTGTATCAGTGCCAAAGCGAGGGCGACCATCTTCAAGCCCAGTGTCATTGAGGGGGAGCACATTGACTTCCCACAACAGGCTGTTCACAGATGAAGGTTCTCCAGCTGCCAAAATGCCCAAGAAGTCAAATGCACACCCTCCAAAGGAAGTTCGCAAGGACATGATCGGATATTTTCCCATCAAAGTCGACAGAGGATGGTGCAGAAACTGTGCTAAAGGCTACACAAACACGCTTTGCAAGAAGTGCAATGTCCGCCTCTGCTTTTCAGAGCAAAAATAACTGCTTTTGGGACTACCACAATTGAATCAAACAAATGAAACCTGCACATTTATGTGTGTTTTCTCCTTCAGAATTTCCACATAGAGCCTGGTTCAAATAGTCCTTTTTTGTAATAAATTGTTCATAAATTTTTTTTTCTCTTAAACCATTGATATTGTGTAGATACATACACTTCGGTTGGCCTTTATGCGCAGTAATGTACAAATACACTTTTAATTGTCACTTACATGTGTTCAGAGTGTGAGTGATTTCAATGAAATTCTGCTACCCTACAGGCCCATTGTTGCAATTTTACAACATGCCCCCCAAAAGTTACTAAAATATCATAATAATAAAAAACACTGATTTGTGCATCACAAGCCTCCTAGAACAACATGTGAAAGGTTGAAAAAGATTTTGCAGTTTTTTTCTATATTTGGGTTTCTGGGGGTTAAAAAGAGGAACCGCAGAGTGTGTTCCAACTACAGGGGGATCAAACTTCTGAGCCTTCCTGGTAAGGTCTATTCAGGTGTTTTGGAGAGAAGGGTCCAGCGGATTGTCAAACCTCAGATTCAGGAGGAGCAATGTGGTTTTCGTCCTGGCCTTGGAACACTGGACCAGCTCTATACCCTTAGGGGGTCCTGGAGGGTGTGTGGGAGTTCGCCCAACTAATCTACATGTGGTTTTGTGGATTTAGAGAAGGCGTTTGACCGCATTTCTTGGGGGGCCTGTGGGGGGTACTCCGAGAGTATGGGGTACCAGGCCCTCTGATACGGGCTGTTAAGTCCCTGTATGACCAGTGTCAGAGCTTGGTCCGCATTGCCGGCAGTAAGTCAGGTTCGTTCCCAGTGAGAGTTGGCTTCTCCAAGGCTGGCCTTTGTCACAATTTTGTTCATAACCTTTATGGACAGGATTTCTAGGAGCAGCCAAGGTGTTGAGGAGTTCTGTTTTTGTTGCCTGAGGATTGAGTCTCTGCTTTTTGCAGATTATATGGTCCTGTTGGCTTCATCAGAATGTGATAGTGTTGAGTCAGAAAAGAGTGGAATGCCTTCTCCGGGTCAGGGATGGGTCCTGCCCCAAGTGGAGGAGTTTAGGTATCTCAGGGTCTTGTTCACGAATGAGGGAAGCTGGAGCATGAGATCAACAGGTGGATTGGTGCTGCGTCTGCAGTTATGCGGGTGTTGTACCGGTCTGTCGTGGTGAATAGAGAGCTGAGCCAGAAGGCAAAGCTCTCAATTTACCGGTAGATCTACGTTTCTACCTTCACCTATGGTCACGAGCTTTGGGTAGTGACCAAAAGAACGAGATTGCAGATGCAAGCGACCAAAATGAGTTTTCTCCACAGGGTGGTTGGGCTCTCCCTTAGAGATAGGTTGAGAAGCTCGGTCATCCAGGAGGGGCTTGGAGTAGATCTGCTGCTCCTCCAGATTGAGAGGAGCCAGTTGAGGTGGCATCTGGTCAGGATGCCTCCTGGACGCCTTTCTGGTAAGGTTTTCTGGGCAAGTCTAATCAGGAGTAGACCTAAAGTAAGACCCAGGACACGTTGGAGGGACTATGTCTCTCACCTGGCCAGGGAACACCTTGGGATTCTACCGAAAGAGCTGGCCCAAGTGGCGGAAGAGAGAGGGAAGTCTGGGTGTCTTGGCTTAGGCTACTGCCCCCGCAACCCAAAATCAGTTTTATGAACTAAGTGTGGTTTCATGAATTTATTTTTAGGTGACCTGATCTTTCTTCTCCAGGATTACCACTACAGTGGCTTGCAACATGGATCTGACGAAGTATCCCATGGACAAGCAGACCTGCACGCTGCAACTAGAGAGCTGTAAGTGTGCATCATTCCTAATGCAGGAAGTTTAGCTGCTCCAAGGAGTGTGTGTGTGTGTGTGTGTGTGTGTGTGTGTGTGTGTGTGTGTGTGAGCATTATCCTTCTTATTGTATACTATGGTATGGGTTTATTTATACGTACGTCTCATTGCTACTTTGATGATCAGGACTTTAAACGGGAACTTATGTATCCGCGGTAAGGTCCGCACCAACTGGTGACATCACTCAAGGTAGGTGGAGTTTCTAGAAACAAGATCATGTGGGATTGGTCTTTACAGCAGATGAATAACTACAACTACTTGATTAAAATGATCCTTTAAACTTTATATCTGTTTTAAATTAAATTAAACTGATAAATAAAAATCAAACACAAAACCTACAAAACAATAAAAATACGTTTGAGACAGTCTAGAGCAGCGGTACTCAATAGGCGGGCCCCATGTGTCACACCCTGTCCTGTCTCCCCATTTGGTCCAGCCTGCGTCTCTGTTAATTGCTCCCACCTGCCTCACGTTTTCCAATCACCCAAGCTCCCAGCCCTCGTGTATTTAAACCCCTTCAGTTCTGTGTCACTTTGTGGATCATTGTTTCATTGTCCAGCATGTGATCATTAAATACTTTTACTCATGCTGGTTTGTCTGCCTGCCTGCCTGCTTCCCTCACCCGCACGTGGATCCTTGCATCTGCTTCACTCACCGCCACGCGCTGACAGAATGATCCACCCCACTAAAGGATCCAGCGGGGAGACTCTCCCCTGGGAGTACCTGCTCCAATTTCTCTCCTAGGACCACCGGCCGGCTTTTCCTCCTCCGGCGTCGCCTCGCCGCAGACGCCGCCACCGAACTTCAGCCTCGGCGATCCTCTCCACCCTCCCGGAGCCAGATGAGAGGTTGGACCGGGAGACGCTGCCAGACTGCTCCTGTTACGTGGGCACCAGACTGACTGTGTGCTCCCCCGGAGTTGGCCCACGGTGTGGGGAAGGATGCCGGGCTCCACTGCAACCCTGTGTCCCAGACGGAGTCGCGAGCTCGCCGCTGCCCTGGCTTGGCGCACCAGCTTGGACCCGCCCCCAGTCAGACCAGCAGTCCCGTCTCCTGTCCAATCAGCGCCTCCGTCATCTGCAGGCGGAGGAACCACGCTTACAGCCCAGCTGACAGAGCTCGCCGGTCTCCAGGCAGAGCTTGGCCGGATCCGTCAGCTCGTCAGCCTCCAGGAGTCCCACCTGGACACCCTATCCTCCCCGAATCATCAGGAGAAGGTTTCAGTCCAGTCAGCAGCTCCCTCGTCTCAGGGCAAGAGGAGCGAGCCCGCGGTCCACCCAGCAGAGCTCGCCGGTCTCCGAGCTGAGCTGGCCCAACTCCATCAGACCCTCAGTCTCCAGGAGCTCCAGCTGGACGGTCTGTCCTCCCTGCTCTCCTAGTTTCTGGCGCCTCCAGTTCGGTCCGCTCTGGTCCCGGCAGTGACCCAAGAGGCTCTTCCCCTGGGCCGGCCAGTCCAGAAGATGGCAGCTCCTCCTGCAGCTGCTCCGCCTCCACTCCAGAAGTCGACAATTCCGGTCCAGAAGTCGGCGGTCCGGAAGTCGGCGGTCCAGAAGCCGACGCCCCCGGACCAGAAGCCGACGCCCCTGGACCAGAAGTCACACCATGTCCTGTCTCCCCATTTGGTTCAGCTTGCGTCTCTTATAATTGCTCCCACCTGCCCCTCGTTTTCCAATCACCCAAGCTCCCAGCCCTCTTGTTTTTAAGCCCCTTCAGTTCTGTGTCTCTTTGTGGATCATTGTTTCATTGTCCACCGTGTGATCATTAAATACTTTTACTCGTGCTGGTTTGTCTGCCTGCCTGCTTCCCTCACCCGCATGTGGATCCTTGCATCTGCTTCACTCACCGACATGCGCTGACACCATGTATATTTTAAAAGTAATAATTTAATAACTTTGGTGCATTTCACTAAGTGTGATCTGCTGGCTGTCAACAGCTTTAAACGTTTTAACTTTGACACAAAGAAAACAACCATTTTAGTCAACTGAAGCACTTTTAATCTCTGAGTCCACTGCCATGTCCTTCACACACCCCCAGATTACAGATGAACAGAATGTGGATTAACTGCCTCCTTTTCGGTTTGGCCTCAGGAACATCAGAGTTGAGCCGAGGGGAAATGCGCTGTTGCTGCCTGAGAGATTTTGCTGCCACTGTGTGTTTGGTTTCCTCCAACGGAAGCAGAGGCTTTTACGTTTCACAGGATAACCACATTATCAGCTTGCAGCCTGCACACAGATAGCTGCTGAGTTTGATTAGTAGAATTACTGTGTCAACGTTCCCGGCCCTTTTAGAAAAGACCCTCTCTGTTCAGATTAGGGAGCTGATTGGTGGTGTAACGGGAATGAACTTTTCCTTCCTGGAGGCATTCTAGACTCACCATGCAGGTACACCCAGGATTTACTGTCTCATTAGTGAACTTCTTGTGATAAATAACTGGGGAAGGGAGAAATGTACCCCACCCCAGGGCAGCTGTGGCTACGATGTAGCTCATCATCACCTGCATGTGAATGGATAAATGACTGGTTGTTTTGTAAAGCACTTTGGGGGTAGAACGCTAGAAGGCACTATATGAAAAACCATATAAGATACCACCATAAAAGATGGTGTTTATGTGTATTTATTTAGCAGACGCTTTTATCCAAAGCTACTTACAATTTATAACCTATAGGGCTTGTTGTGATCTGTGGTGGAAACCGGAGTACCCGTAGGAAACCCACGCATGCATGGGGAGAGCACGCAACTCCACGCAGAAAGGCCGCAGCCGAGTTTCGAACCTGCAACCTTCGTGCTGCAAGGCAACAGTGCTAACCACTGCGCCACCATGAAGGTATATGGATCCTTCCTGTCTGTATCAGATCTAAAGGAGCAAATAGGTGCTGCAATCCAGTCAGGATGTCCACAGGCATTATCAAACATCAGGAAAGGGTTAAACGTTAGGATTATACCCTAACCCTCCAATGGTACTTCAGCTGAAAGACAAACAGATGCAGGCTAAAACACAGCGTTTACCTTCAGCAGTTGGTTTTAATTAAATAGACTAAAGAAATGTCCAGTTTCTACTGAAACATGAGGATTAAAGATGGTTTTAACCTCGGCGGATTGAGCAGCTGCATCAGGTGCTTCACTGCTGGAGGGCGATGAGCTCTGAGGATAAAAGGTGTGCTGGATCATTTTTCAGTGGGTCAGGTGGCTTCTTGCTAGTAATTCTACTGTGTGTGTGTGTGTGTGTGTGTGTGTGTGTGCGCGCGCATGCGTGCGTGCGTGCGTCTGTGCTTGTACAGGTGAGTGTAGTCTCTACTCCGCACACACATGAGATTTTTCCATCAGCAGTGTTCTTTCCCTCACCAACGGCTCATTCCTGAGCCAGGATCGCTCAGACTCAAAAGTGGTTCAGGGAGCATTGATTGGACTCCAGCAGAACATGCTGGGGAGCAGGGATCCAAGTCCCACAGATTCTGACTATAATTTAGTGAAACTTTGTGTAATGATGGGTAGTTTACATCTTACTTATGAACCACAAAATGTGAGATTCCATAGAAATATGAAATATCAATCTGATGGACCACTGACTATTTTAACCAGAAGATCAGAACTTTTTATTGCAGGGATTAAGTGACACTTCGTATTAACTCCAATGGAAGAAAGAGAGTCAGGTTTAAAATAGTTAAGAAATTTATTTCTACACAATTTAAACAAGACTAACTTTAAACACTGTGTACTGATGGACTAAGGTGGAATGAGACGTGAGATGATGGTGTATGTGTGGAATGTTATTCAGAACCAGCAGATCTGGAGAAGCATTTAGTTCTGAGTGGGCGTGAATGTTTCGCTCTAAACTATAGTTGGAGATTTATAACACACGAGACGCCATCTGTCAGTCTACGTACCCAGGGGAAGCCTCTGTTTAGATCAAGAATGTCGGGGTCCTCGTGGACCCTCCTTGGAACCAAAGCCGGTAGAAAAGCAGTGGTGCTGACCAAAGTGGTCTTGGAATGCTTCCAGGTCACGACAGGTTATCATTGCCGTCAGCGAGACCCTGAAGGGGTTGTGAGGTTCAGCTTTTATTCTGAAGGAACCGCTGTGGTCAGGTGTAACTTGCAACAGATTTTATCCAGCTTGTCGAGGTTCTTTTGGCTGAAGAGGAAGTCCGGATGGCCTGTCCAAGGCTTCTCTAGAACGCTTTGAACTAAAGAAAAGGTGGAGTGGAATAGTTTTTATAATTGTCATATTTTGGTTTACTGGCGAATCAGAATTTGACATGCAAAAGAGGGTTTATACAAACACCACAGATAACCACGCCTCGCGTCAGAAACGAAGGTTCTGATTGGATCAGACAAAAGGAAATGTGTCGTGTGACTTTAGCATTACGTGTCATCAGTGTCTAGAGCAAATGTCCAAGATTATAATTACTTGTAAAATACTACTGATCACAGGATTTTAATATCAAGTAATAACATTGTCATTTCACAGATTGATTGAACATTGGGCTCACATTATTATTGGTAATAACAAACGTTGTTTGATTATGTGTTTATCAAGAGAGTTCTTCGTCTTCGTCTTGAGCTGTAACAGAGGTGAAGCAGTTTAGATGAGCAGAGTGCATGAAAGACCTTGGCCACTATCTCATGTAGATTAGGCTTGTGTCAGAGACTTTATGGCTCTGCTCGAGCAGACGCAGCACATCATGACCTTTAGGTCAAAAACAGGATATTCATGATGCTACATTTGAATGCATGATTGAACTGAAATGATGGTCTGGGAAACAGATTTTGTATTGTGCCCATTAGATGCACAAAAGCATAAAGAGAAGGAAGAGCCACAAACTTCTGCATCCAGAGTGAAAACCATCCAGGTGTTCCATCACCACCATCATGACCAACAACACGTTAACAAGCCACACAACAATGAAGCACTGAACAGACTCAGGCTCATGTTTGACATATTACAGGTGAAGATCCAGAATCACAGCACAATCACTAGCAAAGCCCCTTAATCCTGACACAAGTACGCAGATGGTGTTGAACACTGTTCAGCGCCTCGTGATTTTTATTTTGAGAGGTGCTATAGAAATGATATTTTCTTCTTCTTCTTCATCACCATGAACCAGCACCAATCCAAATTTAGCTTATTTGCTAAATAGCTCAGCTCTGGAATAAGCCATCAAATACAACAAGATGTAAAAGCAGAAGATAAAGAACCATAAACATCTGAGGTAGAGAACAATCACCTCTAGAAACAACCTTTAACCTAAACAACAAGGTTCACCAAACAGCAGCAGCAGGAACACGTTCTGGACCCGCCCCACCAGGTGAGCCGTCCACATCTTACTTGCTGCCTCTCTGATGGTTTAGCTGTTTGATCTGCTCCCAGAACTGTCAGTCTCCTTTAGAGTCCCTGTGACACGAGGGGCTGGCATGATGGTTCCTACTGAGATTTATTCAGCTTGTCAACTCCATTCATTCTGATCCCGGTTCTGGTTCTGATGGTTCAGAGAGACTTTTCCTGTCTGCAGTCGCCATCATACTCCACTACGCTGAAAGGGTGGTGGTGTGTGTGTGCCTCAATCCAATCAGCTGGTTCATTTATTTAGGAACAGTTGTTTAATAACCTAATTTGATTCCTTTTGGTTTAGTTTTTATTTATTTATTTGTTTATTACAGTTAAAGGATGACAAATGGGTCGCCATCTTTTGAGTTTTGGGGATTTGTTGTGAGGTTTTTATCAGTAGACGGGACCTAAATGAAATAATTTACAAACTGCCATTTAAAATGTTAACTAGAAACTGAAAAATCAACCTTGGAGCGCTGCTCAGCCCCTCTCCTTCTCACTGAAATCCATCTTTAAGCTTGATTTTACTCCTTGTTGTTACATGACAGCCCACCAAGCTAAGCTCAGTCGGATACCTGGCCGGAAGCCCACCAGGGCCTCAGAGCCAACTCCAACAGTTAGCTCTGTCTCTGGTGCCATTTAGCTGACTAGAAGACACACAAGGGTTAAACTGCATGGATCCTTTGCTGCTTCAATCATTTCAGGCTAAATATCTGCATACGTTTTCTTCTCCCCGTTTGTCGCAGTTTCTTTCCTTCCCTTCCATCCTTCGTGCTCGTTTTCCTGCTTCCCTCTGTATCTATCCTCTCCTTCCCTTCCTCTCCCTCAGTCTCCCTCTCCCACTTGCTCTTAGGAAAATGTATATTCAAGAGTTTGTTCCTTTTAATGCTGTGCAAAACTGGATCTGCTGCACAGGAGGATCTTAAACCAGAGTGTCACTGTGGGAGGGTGTGGGGTGTTCAAATCCAGATTTCGCTAAAATATTTAGTGAGTCCTGGCAGCAAAGAAGACAGAAGAATGAAGCATTTTTTCCCTTTGTTTTCATTCAAAAATCCCTCAGACAGAATTTGGACGCAGTTTCATAAGTTAGACACAGAGGGAAAACCCCACCTCAGAGTAACGCTCGCCCAATTTTCATTTTCATCGTGGGTCTCTATTTGGAGAAGTCAGATCAAGGCGTTGGCTCAGGGACGTGGTGAGTTCCTCTCTGAGACAGGTGGGACTTTTGTCCTTTTTAGGCACATTTCTCTGCAAACTTCACAGGTTCAAACAAGAACAGTTATAGTAAATGAAAACCCTCCAAACACGAGCTTACATGGATGCATCCCAGCTTTAGAACAAACAAATAAAACCAACTTGACTTCCTATTCTCTTACTCCCTCTACTGATAAATCAGAAAAAATGCACCCAGCTGTGGCCTGATTCATCAAATCGCTGTGACTAATGTAAATATGCAAATGAAAACAACACTAATAACACTCCTTCCGGTATTTGCTATGCAGCTTAACGGAGCCATCTTTGATCGTATGAAATTTTCACGCCTGTTTTTCCAACTATGATTTGGGTTAACGCAGCTCTTCAGGGCCCGGTGCAATATGCACGGTGAGCCTGTTATCATGTGATGTAAGAGTGATGCACTTCTCTCATTCTTAAAGAGCAAGTCACCCCTTACAAGAAGCGTACTTCACTCCCACCTCATGTTTGAAAAATGCAACAAATGCTGTTGCCTAGCAGACCGAGAGGGTTGAGCCACTAACAAATACACACACTCACGACATTGTGACATCATAATGTACCAGTTTACATCATAGCATACCTCTTAGCCAATAGCGGTGGTAGATTTAAATTCAAATGCAGTGAAGAGTTTTTACCTGACAACGGCACAACACTGACAGTTTCAGGCAGAAAATTTAAATTTTAACTAAAATGCACAAAAGTGCTAAACTATTGACTACACGTGTCTGCAGCACGATTAGACACGCATTTATATAGTTTATCAGAAAAAAACAGTTGATTTGGGGGTGACTTGCTCTTTAAGTAAGGGATGAAAGAGAAAAATGAATATGCTACATTTAGTAATTAGAACATTTCTGCAGGGTGCTGATGAGAAACTTCCTGACAACGTTATGATCTGAATGGGAAATAATGTTGACCTTCGTTGTTTAGACACGCAGAGAAAGCAGAGACTAAAAACTGTTGAAACTGCTGCACATTCATTGGATTTACCAACGACTGGTGGTTCTTTAAGGTTACCACGGTAACTACCAGTGGCCCTTTAAGGTTGCCATGGTAACTACCAGTGGTCCTTTAAGGTTGCCTTGATACAAACGGTAGATCTTTAAGGTAACCATGGTACCCACCTACCTGTGTCCCTCTGTCCCTGACAGTAAACTCAGCAAAACTGGTGCCAACGAGTCTCTCTGACCCTAATCCAACACCAACAGGCAAGGAGGGTGAAGCGTCTTGCCCATGGGCACAGTAATGGCAGCAGAGTGAGTGGGACACAAACCTGTACATGAATTCAGTCTCTTAGGGAATGACATGAGTTTGTTTGTAAAAAAGCACTTTGGAAAAATCTTCAAAAAACTCAAACTTTGAAATAACAAAATATTTCAAAACAAGTTTGAGTCACATAGCGTCTGACTTTCTGAGACCCGTTTAAACTCAGAATCATGTTTCTAATAGGAGGTCAACCTGAGCCATAGAGGTCCACTGGGAGCGGGGCTTTCTCACCTGCTTCACAACAATTGGTGGAGAACTTTTGTATTATTTTTTAACATGTAGACACTATCAGCATAATCATAACCTAAAGTCACATAACACTATACAACAGGACAATCCTGTTGTTATTTAGTACAGGACTGTCCTGTTGTTATTTACCTATTGTTATTTACAACAGGTAAATAACAATAGGATTATTCTGTTGTAAATAACAACAGGACAATCCTGTTGAAAATAACAACAGGATTGTCCTGTTGTTATTTACCTGTTGTGATTTACAACAGGTAAATAACAACAGGTAAATAACAACAGGATTATTCTGTTGTAAATAACAACAGGTAAATAACAACAGGACAATCATGTTGTAAATAACAACAACCCTGTTGGTTCAAACAAGAACCCTGTTGTTATTTACGACAGGTAAATAACAACAGGATTATACTGTTGTAAATAACAACAGGTATATAACAACAGGACAACCTGTTGTTATTTACAACATGTAAATAACAACAGGATTGTGAGCAGAGTAGGAAAACAGGTTAATACCATGGCATCCCTGTTTGTCATGCTGTGAATAATCCCAGAATATTCAGACTAGGTGGATTAGGGTTGAGGTAATTCCCAAATCCGGTTGCTATAGTAACACAAGTCATTTTTAGTGGCTGAAGACAAGATGATTCTACAGTCTCTTGTTTACTCCCCAAACGCCTCTTAGACATTGAGCATTATGAAAGATCCACCTCCCACCACGGGCTGCAGTTCCAAACAGCTTCGCCTCTAACTGATCTGTGCTCAGAAGGGCTGCTGGTGCTTCCTGCTGTTTCCCTTAATGTCGCTGCAGGCTTTACCGAAAACAAGCAACACAATTTCTACACAACTAGAAACCAAAGCAGCTCGTGGGTGTGTACCGTCATCGTAGCTCAGTTATGGAGAACATTTTGGGTAATTTACAGGAGCGGGTGAGAGAGAAGCCCGTGTAGCTCATTCTTTCCCCTCCGTGAGTTTTCTCCGGGTTCTCCTCCCACAGAACAAACACAGCATGGTTGGTTTACTGATGGCTCCAACATGGTGTGGGAACATTAAACATGCCACTGTATCGGGTTAGGGTTATGTGGATGGATGGGAGCTGCTGTAGACACCACCAGGACAAAACAGTAAAAGACAGAGCAAGTCAAACATGGGTAATCTGTGGGTGAGGACAATTAAAACAATGTTCTAACTGTGAAACTGAAACCTTTCTGCTTTTTCTCTCCAAGGGGGTTACAACATTAATGATGTCATGTTTTACTGGACCCGAGGAAATGAGTCTGTCAGTGGCTTGGACACTCTCCAGCTAGCTCAGTACACCGTGGAGGACCACTACACATCTGTCTCCGAGGCGGTCTATGAAACTGGTATTTATGAATTAATTAATGCTAATATTTAAATAGTTGTGCTTTAATAATGAAGGGCCTGGTCATCATAAAGAACTCCAGAACGTCAGACAACATGTAAATAACAACACAAACCCATCAGATCTGATCGGAGTTCTTACTATTTCGTGTTTGTTAAAGGGGACAGTTAAAGGGGACATATCCACCCCACCCCATTCTTCCAAAAATTAGATACACCCATTATGAAAATTGATGTAATATCTCCGGAAAAAATATTACCACATCTTGCCATATAGATATTTTAGAGACACAGTTTTTGAAAATCCAGACAATATCACTGGAAAAATATATCGCGGTATATTGCCATATTGATATTTTCTTACAACTCTTGTCTGCAGTGTACTTTGGGTACACTATGGTGTGTCTTAGCTCACCAGCTGCAGTTGATGCATGTGACCGTGTTGCACTTCCATTGTAATGCAATGCAGCAGTTTTCAATCTAAAAAGAAAAAAAAAACAACTAAGAAACAAAAGAAATAGCTTTTAGACAAAAATATATATTTAATGTAAAGATTTAAATAATTAAAAGCATGTATTATATTGATTATCTGTCCTGGATAGCATTCCTCTGATGGAGAATACAGAACACATGTGACAGAAAGTACATTGAATCTGATTTGTCCTGCTCTGACAAATGTCAGATCTGTATACTGGTAAGACATTTATTTTCTCACTTAGATGATTATTCAGTCAGAGTTACGTCATATAATCCATTCGTTTGACTGAAAAAGGAGCAGGCAGAACTATGAACTTGTTTAGCCCAACCAAGTAAAATAGAATAAAAAATACATGTATCTGTATGTAAATGTAGTTTAAATGTCTTCCCACAATAGCTCATGTAGATTCTGTCTGAGTTATACCATAAAAATCCTGCAGTTCCACTAAAAAAGTATTTACCTGCAAACAGTCTGTTGGCTCTGCTTTCCGCTGCTTCCTCTGTAGCAAGTTAGCTGTACACATGTTAGCTCCAGTAGCTGCAAAGTCTCTGATCTTCTACAGATTCCTGAAAAATGAGCAAACTTATTAAAATAAACTGCAATAATATGTAATTCCATGAAACCAGTAATGAATATGTTAAGATGAGACTTTAACACGAAGCAATAGAGCATTGTCCTAGAGGCTAGCTTAGCAGCTAGCTAGTGAGCTAACGTCTGGTTAAAACCAGAGGTGGAAAGTAACGAATTACATTTACTCACGTTACTGTAATTGAGTAGCTTTTTTGTAAATTTATACTTTTGAAGTCGTTTTTAAAATCTGTACTTTTACTTTTACTTGAGTAAGTTTTTAAAAAAGAATTGTAATTCGCTACATTTTAAATCATATCCGTTACTGAGTAAAAATAAATTGTAGGCTTAATAAATTAAAAATATTACGTGTAGCAGCGTCGGAACAGAAAGAGACACCTGCATGAGCACCACGTCTAAACCGGGGAGGGGGGGCTACACGCTTTATGATGAGGACAAACAGCCATTTTTACCGCAGTTTTGCTCAAAAACATCAGTTCAGTCCCTGTGATCCACTCGCTGTTTACCTCCTCTCTCCCTCCTCTCCTGTGGGTTGGAACCCGCACCTTCGCGCACCGGTGTGACGTCATCAGAATTCTGCTCGGTTCGGCAACCAGACTCGGTTCCGTGTTTGAAATGTGTTTCCTTACCGCGCACGGAAGCGGCAAAATTACGTTTAGCGCTCCTAAGAAGCCGATTATCAGCGCTCTGCTCATAAAACAGAAGACCTGCAGGCCTCTGTGAGTTAAAACATCCTGATACTGTTCAGGTGTAAACATTGTGCTCCATCCCTGTGTTTGAACTCAGAAGATGCTTCTTGATGCCACAGATATGTGATGATTTAGCTTGTTTCTTTATTTTACTCCAGAATAAGAGATTAAATTATTACAAAAGCAGTTCAGTGTAGTTAAATTAGTCATGGTGTGTGTGTGTGTGTGTGTGTGTCTGTGTGTGTGTGTGTGTGTGTGTGTGTGTGTGTGTGTGTGTGTGTGTGTGTGTGTGTGTGTGTGTGTGTGTGTGTGTGTGTGACTGCATAAGACAGCATGGCTTCATCAAATCCATGCATCCTATATCTTGGCTGAAGTAATGGCTCAGGAAAATAACTTGTATTTAATAAACCATGACGTCTCTGCATTGTTTATGATAATGTTTTATCTTATATTGGACCTATTTTTGGTCTGGGAGGTGTAACATATCATGATACAAGCCTTTTAAAACATGTTAAAGTGTTACAAGAGGAGATAAATGCATGCATTTGAAGTTCATGTTTGGAGACCAACCTTCACAGTTTGGAGGCTCACGCTGGTGAGGAGACACCGTTAGTTCTAGTAACACCGGGGCTCCCACGGCCTGTTCTGACAGGATGGACGTTACGAGACCCTTAAGGATTCCAGTTGGATGATTGGAGGATTATTTAGGAGGACTGGAATGAACAAACTGATTTCAGTGGTGAAGGGTTAAATGCTCGGCATTAAAATTGTAGAAATGCAAAATAACTACACTTTATTATCTATATAAACATGTACTGGGTCCAGTTTTTTGTTTTATTAAGGACTTTTGTCATAAATGATTACAGAAAATCCAAATCCTCTCCTCCAGACAGTGAAGAACTGTGTTTCGCATACGTCACTCCAGCACGTAAAACAAGCTAGCTGCTGATGCTAATATTGTGAATCACTGTTATTTGTTTACTTTCATGCTCGTAATTATTACGTAAAATTGCGTTTACAGCTGCAGCAAAAGGTCTGAGCCATGTGTCTGTGTCCTACACGCATTTTTAAATAACAGGTCTTATCTAAACCTACATCTATAAATCCATCTAGAACCGCACCGCTACTTCTGGACTCCAGACGAGTCCCGTTAGCATGACTGCAGCAAAACTGCTAACCGAGTTAGCTCCTGTAAGGAAAGAACAAGTCCTTTGGGAAAGCTACGACACACACACACGCACGCACGCACTCACACACACACACACACACACACACACACACACACACACACACACACACACACACACACACACACACACACACTTACACACACACAGACATATAATCTAAAAGATGATCTCTATATTTCAACATTAGAACCTCCATGACATCCTGGATTAGTGCAAACAATGAATTGAGCTAAGGAGTTACTTCAGTATCAGGAAGATTTATTCTGGTAAATTGTAGGTTCATTATTTTCCAGAGTTATATCAATAAATACACACAGCAGTAAAACTGTAGATTACTGAACTATATTGGGACACATGATGGAGCTAAGACCAGCTGAAAACTTGCCAGCTTAGAGCTTCCAGTGGAGCACAGAAATGAAATATTTAAGAAAAGTAAACAAACTGTACCGATTTTGGTTCTGAAGATGAACAGAATCCTCCTCTATGTCCAAATCAGGTCGCAGGTCTTCTGAGTCAAACGGTCTAAAACATGTCTGCACCTCTGGTAGTGATATCCAGCTGGCGGGGTCGGAGTTCGGTTGAACTTCTCCAGTAATCTAACATCCGTTCTCGTTGCCGTATCCCAGAGAAAAAACAAATCTGATGGACTAGTAGAGGCTTCAGAAGCTACATCTGATTGATGACACATTGTTCTCTGCTGTAACGCTAATGCAGAAACACCGGAGTCGGGCATTGTTTACTACAGCTGTTTCAGCAGAGCTCCATGTGAAACGTCAACTGCTGCCCAGGGCTTAGACTGGAAGGTAGTTTCTGTTTTTCCTGCGCCGGTCACAAACATCAGATTTTCTTCCAATTCCAGCCGTCAAAATCCAAAAACCTTTTTCATCTGAGATTTTAATACACATTTACACATGCTGTTCAAACAAATTTTGCCTCTGGCCGATATCTTTAAATGTGTGAGTGAACCCACTACCAAGGATGAACTCTGCTAACTTTAAAAATCAGCTGCTCTAAATAAGCATTCAGGGAAAAGTCATGGGCCTGTGACTATAACCTAATTCATGTTACTAGTTTGCAGTGTAACTGCCTTTGTACTTCAATATGCATATTTGTTCATTTAATTAAAAAAACGGCCACTTTGACATTTATACCCCATTGTCTTTTTTTAACTATTCAGAAGAGCCCGTCCTTGCACAGTCAAAAAAGTAACTAAGTAACTTTTACTCTGACTACATTTGAAATAAGCTACTTTTTACTTTTACTTGATTACATTTTGAGGCAGGTAATTTTACTTGTAATTGAGTAAAATTTCATGAAAGTAATTATACTTGTACTTAAGTACAACATTTTAGTACTCTTTCCACCTCTGGTTAAAACCAACTTAAAAAGTGGCTTAACTTACAGATTAACTAAGAGAAGGTAAAATATATTATCAATACTCACTTTAGATCCTCAGTAGACACCACAGACAGCAGAAATAACGTGGTTGGGGCTCAAAATTCATGTTGTTGACCGAAGTGGGAAAAAAATAGTCTTGGAGGCTACATCACTTCCGGATCACTGAACTCAAGAGAACTCTTGAGAAACCACTGTTCTATGGGAGAGGACTTCTCAGAAGTCCCACCCACCCGAAAGGGTTGTGTCAGAATTGCAAACAAAAACTCAGAGATTGCAACGGAGAAAGCAAAAAGTGTAAGTGCAAATCTGGTAGTGAGAGCAAAGCTCTGAGCAGCAAGAATGAAACAATGGAAATAGATAACAAAAACACATAGAGGCAAACAGAAAAATAAAACATACTTTATTACTCATTTTAAGAAGCTGATTCAGATCGTTTTTCTTTTGAGATGATTTTTCTCTGTCAATATCTTAATATCTGTTTGATCTCCAAAGTGTTTTTTCTTGATCCTATTGGCACAAATCTAATCCCATATAATCTGTTTGGCCTCAGGAAATAGCCTAAAATGAACAGTTTCTACAAAACCCTTGTTGTGATGTCACAAATGGGTGAATTACTATGCCCACACACATACACACACACACACCTGTCAGCAGTGGAGGAGCAGCAGCTCTACTCAGAGCCGTACAGCTTTAAGGCTGATTATCTGTGGCAGCCATGTTGAATCTGGCTGAACACAACTTTCTCATTAAAGTCTGTCCTGTGGTTCTGGAGATGTTCTACTAATGACCTACACCCTGGCAGCAGCTCATCTCATGTAGCTTTAGAGCTCCAGTTCAGCCATTATCCAACAAATACACTAATAGATTTCCATCCCTCCTCTCAAAGGCAGTTACCCCAAGCTGGTTTTCCATTTCGAGCTGAAGAGGAGCATTTTGTATTTCATCCTGGAAACCTACGTCCCCTCCAGCCTGCTGGTGGTCCTCTCATGGGTTTCCTTCTGGATTTCCTTATCCTCTGTTCCAGCTCGCATCTGTATAGGTATTTCTGCTGCTTGTTCACTCAAACCTGATCTTATAGTTGGCTTCATTTGATGTCATGTTTCTTGTTTTTAAACCATTGCCGTGTTGATGTGACTCAAAGTCCCTGCTCAGGTTGTTGGGTTCCCGGATGAATACGCCCAACATTTCTGGCGTGACTTTAGACGTCTCCATCACAAACCTGCAGGAAGTCTTTATTTGCAAATCTAAATTTGTGTACTTCAAGCTGAATAAATAAATATCAAGAGAAGACAAGTTCACAGAATCAAAACAAAACAAAACTAAAACTAAATAATATTTACTAGAGTCTCCTAGATAAATATCCTACTGATCAAGTCGGTTATTTGTTTGTTTGTTTATCTGATTGGCCACTCTGAGTGTTTCATGCAGGCTGAACATGTCTCCTACACCTACCTCCTGCAGTAGCTTCTGATAGAAAACAGATCGTGAAACTCTAGGATAGAAAATGCTGACATATCTACGTCACACTGTCACTAACATTCATGGCCTCACCCATCTGGACTCACGACGGGGAAGCTGTTGTTTGTTTAGGACAGGAAACAGCAGAGAACGTCTCGTCTAGTAGAAGCTAACCATTAGCATTAGCAACTCCACCACAAAGCAGAACTCCTCCAGGTTTGTGGTATTTGTGTAGATACAACATCAACGTTGTACAGCGAACAGAGTCAGTGGTAGAGTCGTGTTACTGTTAGCCAATCCGAGGAGAGATGTCCACACATCAGGAACTAAGACTCCAGATCCTGTCGTCTGAAGCTCAGCTGGGATGTGGGTAACTGGTTGTTATCCCCCTGAGGCATTCATCCCTACTAGACACTGATACTAACGTAAACCTTTAATTCCAAAGATGTGAGTCGGAGGTCCTGCTTCTCTGCTGAAAACCAGGAATCTTTTTTTGCTGATGGGTGATGTGGATGGAGTAGAGTTGGTAACAAGGGCATTACTCCCATCTGAAGAAGCTGAATGTCCACAATCCAAATTTGACCTATAGTCAGAAGGTTTGGATTGTGACTGAAAGGACAAGAGCAGCTTTGGCACTAAAGAGCCCAGCCTCTGGTTGTTTCCCTCTGTACAGACTCAGAACTCACAGGAGGGATCATATTTCCTGTCTGGTCCAAGGACTCCTTAGGCAATCTCACCTGGGTAACAGAAGAGTGCTGCTGGGACCAGGAACATCTGAGCTTTCCTTCTTGACCTGGAACCTACACATTAACCTTAAATAAGCAGCAAAACTGTCTGAATTACTGACTGGAGCTGGAGCATTCATCATAAAACCATCACCATCATCACAAAAGGCTCGTCTGCCTGAGACGTCAGTGGACAAGAAATAAAGAAGTGGACTCTCAGCTTGTTCTGCTTTACTGTCTCTCACCTAGTTGGATCTTGCTGTTTATCATCATTTTACAAATCTCATTTTATCTCATAGCAGAATATCACATTAGCTTGTGTTTGTTCACATCTTATTGCATCAGATTTGTACCACATTTCACCTCAAATCCAACTCTTACTGTATGTTTGGTTTCATTTTTATACACACACACATATAAACATATGCATATATGTATAAATACATAAATCCATACATTAATACATATATATATATATACATTTATACACACACACACACACACATATATATATATATATATATATATATGTGTGTGTGTGTGTGTGTGTGTGTATATATGTATGTATATAAAAACATATGTAAACACACACATATTAGTGTATTTTATCTGGTATTATGTTGAGTTTTAACATTTGTTGACATTTATCATCTTGATTATTGGAGAAAAAACACCTAAGATGCCATCTAGATTTATTTTATTTTCATGTTTATTTTTGTTTTTCCAGGAGTGACTACCGTTCTGACCATGACCACCCTGATGATGGGAGCCCGGACTTCGCTGCCCAACGCCAACTGCTTCATCAAAGCCATCGACGTCTACCTGGGGATCTGCTTCAGCTTCATCTTCGGAGCGCTTATTGAATACGCTGTGGCTCATTTCTGCTCTCTGAGTCATGCTGATGCTCACATGTTCATGGTGAGACTCCTTCACATAAATATTACTGTTGTGGTCATGACTGTTGCCATGGTTACAGTCAGTGTGTTCATCGTGATGGTTGCTGTCTTTGTCATCCCTGTCATCCTCATCTTGGTGAGTGTAACGTGTCATAAAAATCACTGCTTTGAGAAATTCTCCTCCACTCACACACCACTGTCCTTCTTGCTTCTCCCTCCTCCAGTATAGCCACCAAATGCAGGAGATGGAGGATGAAATTAACGGCATCGTCACCACTATAACCAGTCACTCCCACAGAGCCAAGCGGCGTAAGGAGCCTGCAGGAACAACGCCTCCTGCTCCTGCCTCAACACAACTCACGGTCAGCCCCTCCAGCCCCTCTGGCAGTGAACCCAAACCTGAGGCGTCCCCTCCAGAACCCACCAACTTGTGCCTCACAACTCTGGCCACCTTTCGCAAAATTTTCCGTCTTATAAGCTGCTGCCATGTGGAGAACCCGCACCACATAGACAACTATTCCAGAGTTGCCTTCCCGCTTTCGTTCGTTGGTGTCAACCTGCTCTACTGGACATACTATCTGTACTTGTAGCGTCGGCTTCAGTGCAACACGTGTCCAGGAGAATGTGAGGCTAGACAGGAAGTGGTACCTGAGCGTGTTTTGAGATGGATTCTTTCAGTTTCTACATCTAGGTTCATGAATGGAGTCATATTTCTAGTGAACGTTTGAAGCTTACTCCTGCTAGTTTATGATTAAGATGCACCTTAGATACACCTGTGGGACGTTTCTGCCTGCTTAAAGGTTATGCATATTTACAGTCTTTGTCCTGCTGGCCTGAGCATGCTGCTGCAGCTTCAGTCTTACAGCAGCTCATGTAAAATTTGTGCTTCCATTAGTTTCTGCCGTTTACATGAAGTCAGATCCAGACGTGTCAAGATAAAATACGCGATTACACAAGATGTTGGTAGAATTAGGAAGAAACTCCTCCTGGACGGTTCCATAGGACACCCTACATGATCTTCACATGGAGGTCACATGTGAAAACATGTTTTCCACATGTTGCTCATATGAACAAGGAACAAAAAAATGAACTTCACTTGTGAAATGGGCAGCTCTAGGGGTAGAGTGGGTTGTCTAGCAAGGTTGCAGGTTTGATCCCCGCTCCCGCCACAGAATGCTGCTGTTGTGTCCTTGGGCAAGACTTTTGGCCCACTCTGCCTGCTGGTGGTGGTTGGAGGAACCGCTGGCGCCTGTGTCAGTACGCTGCAGGGCAGCTGTGATTACATTGTGGCTCATCCTCACCAGCATGTGAATGGGTGAATGGCTGAGTTGTGAAGCGCCATGGGGGGCTGTAGAACACTATACAACTACAGGCCATTTACTATGAAGTGAGCTGCAGTTGCATGGCACCTTTCATAGTCGTTGGACTCCAAAGCGCTTTACACCACAGTGTATCATCCACTCACATGCCGATGGTGGTGAGCTACATTGTAGCCACAGCTGCTCTGGGACACGCTTACAGAGTCTTGCCCAAGGACACAACAGGCAGGCAGGGGGGTGAAGTGTCACCATATTTGTAGTTTTAAATGTTTTTTTTTTTTACTGAGTATGCCTTGGAGAGGCTAGTGAGATTTGTATTTCTGCAAATATGGTGCAAAATGACAAATACGTCTTGAATCTTGAACTGTCTTGCCCAAGGACACAACAGCAGAGTTCTCTGTAGGGAGCTGGAATCGATCTGATTAGGACAGCGCGCTCTACCTCCCGAGTTCTGCCTGCTCTGGTTTGGGAACACTGACAGGATCCTACATGTTCGTCAGCTCAGAGGAAGGAACAGAATCAGACCTGTGTGTGTGTGTGTGTGTGTGTGTGTGTGCGTGCGTGCGTGCATGCGTGTGTGTGTGTGTGTGTGTGTGTGTGAGCAAACCTGCAGTGAGCTTTTACACAGAGACAGTTATTTAGCTAATGGAAGGAATCGCTGTTCCAGGATGATCTGGGACTGTAGGACGGAGTGGTGATCTGACACTTGACGACAGGTGTGTTTTCCACAGCGTGAAATAAATGTAACTGTTCTGTTGTGACAAAATAATCATCGGTATTTTATGGCTAATTTTCCGGTTTTGCCAGCAAAGCTAATATTTAAATAACAATAATGGAGGAAATGGACAGTGGAGGAGAAAGGAACAATCCTACTAACATCCGTCGTGGAAGAGGTGTGCTCTCTTACTGCCTGCATATAAATGTGGTGGCCTTTGGCCTCATTGATTTTAATCAGAAATCTGGTGAATAGTTTGTCATCTTTTAAATCTGCCTCAGTATTTCCAAACAAAAGCTGCCTTGTTTATAAACAGCTGGACTAAAGAAGCAGCAGCTATGGGTCCGTGGTGCAAGACAGCATGAAGCATCACAGAAGTGTAAGATACAGCGACATCTAGTGGCACAACGGCAAAAAGCAACTAACTGAAAACCTTTAGCAACACACACCCATACATTCACACACACACGCGCGCACACACGCACGCGTGCGCACACACACACACAGAGAACTGCTGCATGACCTTTTGAAGAAAACTACACACTTCTGCTGTTTGTCTCTCTTCAGAGACTCCTGGTGTTTTATAAATTATGAATGCATCAAATGTTTAAAGGTAACAATGTCATATTTTATATTTAATTAGGAAAACATCTGTTTATCTTCTTTCGTCACGGATGCTTTCCGAGTTATTTTAGCACATTAAATCATCTGATCTTCTGGGTCTTCATCAGTATGAACAGTGTTGGGTGTAAAGCATTACAAAAGTAATAAATTACTGTAATGCATTGCTTTATGCTGTAATGTCGTAATGTAAGGCATTACAGGGAAAGAAAATAGTGATATTTACTAGGTACAATTGTCAGTAACACGGTAATTACAATGCATTTTTAAACCTAGAATCAAGATGCGGGTTTCCTAAAAATTCCAATTGTGGGAAGCCTGAAAAAAGATCTGGTATCCACATATATGACGTCATTTATGGACTCAGCTTTGCGGGCATTCTATGAGCAGAGAGGACGCAGCAGTAATGGCTCAAATACTCGTCCTGCGCGCTGCTGCTGTTATATTCACAAAATCGCTCCACCAAAACAAAGTAATTCATTTGCGATCATTTATATCAGCCCATATTCTCTGGTACTTCATGTACTTTTCAGCTGAGTTCATAATCTGTGCCCTGGTGATTTCAACTCATTGTTGCTGGAGCGCAGCGCATATGAAGCTTTTTTTTTTTTGCGTTCGGTAGATCCCTTTGGCTGATAGTTAGAAAATAGGAAATCTAGGAAACAGTTTTTCTGGAAGACGGAGAAAACATGCAGCATGCAGGAAGGTTAGAGGGAGAAAGGGCAGAAAATCATTCAAATAAAATCAAGAAAACAAAACAAAGTGCTTGAAAAGAAAAAAAGTAGGTAGATTTATCCCCAATACACATTTTTACCAGTGAAAAACAATGATATATACGCATTTAATATTTATACATGTGATAGAATCAGATCACCCCAGAAGTCAGTCCCACATCCAGGGCCGTATCAAGGCATTTGGAGACCAAGGCAAATATAGGCTTGGAGCCCCCACCACCTCACTCCCTGCTCAGTTAATATAAGATGGCAGCGTGCTGAGAGTACAGATTGTTGTTGCTTTCATTTAATAAACAATCATTTTAAAGCACTGTTATTATATCTGACTGTTTCTAATAGCAACCCTAGCTCAGACACCACATCACTTTCCACAAATATGTCATGAGCTCACTGAGCGTCAGATTACCAGATTCATACAGAAGTTGTTTTGGTGAAAATAACTTAGAGTAATGCAAAAGTAGTGTAATGCCTTACATTTTATAATCAGTACTATTGTAATGTAATGAATTACTTTAAAATGAGAGTAACAAGTAATAAATAATGCAGTTTTGAAGTAACTTGCCCAACACTGATTATGAAAGACTAAACAACAAACCTCACATGGTGGTTTTTATGTCCTGTTACTTGCTGTAAGTTGAAATAACATCCATCTGGGGTCATGTGGAGGTGAGGACCAGAGCTTGGAGAAGCAGGAGGAGCCTAGAAGAATCTCAAGCTTTAATAAGAAAACAAATGGCTGCCAGTTACTGATGCAGGGCAGCCATGGGGGAGCTCCAACGAAGATCTGGAACATTTCAGGAGTAAATCTAAGCAGATGAAGTGACATCAGGCTGAAACTACACAGCTGAATCTGTATTTGCTGAGACAGGAACATAAACACGACTCACTCCTGATGATTAACTCACTCCTGATTTTTTTCTTTCACCATTTAGTAAAAGTGTTTTAGTACTTAATGTCTTTCCTGCATGATGAACTTTGTTCTGCTCTCTAAGGACCTGTGTAACAGGACGGTAACCCCAGGTCACCACCAGGATCAGAGCTGGTTCCAGATGGAGTCTGAGAGATGCTTCTGTTTTATGAACTATGAGACAATAACAGCTTTGTTAGCTTTGAGCCACCAGAAACAAGTAAAAACTAGATTTTTACCTTGAATTTTCTGCGGCTCCAAACCACACATCCAATCCTACAGCTCCTCAGCCACATTCAGATGTGAGTGCACGTGTTCATCAGAAGTGTCTTTCTAAACACTTTTGGTAAAACAACAGAGTGGATTTTTAATTTTACTTCTGGATCTCAGACTCATGAGTCAAAGGTCAGACGGACTGAGAACTTTAGTGAAATGTATTGATAAGCTGTAGAGCACCTGTTGGCCTAACCTAATTTACATAAGTGATACTATGCATGTTAATTTGGTGTCTGAATATGAATGATGGCAATAAAAAGGTTAGTGTGGATTATTGGGACTTTTTTTCTCAAGTCTTCAGAAAGCCCGTTGGTGTGGATCCTCCGCTGGTCGCAGAGTCCCAGTGGGAGGTCAACAGGAAGAGGATGAGGACATCACTGTCCCTGGAATTACATCTAACGGACACATGAGGACATTTCCATTAGGTGACTTTGCCCATCGGTGGGGCGACGGTGGCACAGGAGTTAAGTGCACTCCCCATAATCGGAAGGTTGCAGGTTCAAGCCCCATTCAGTTTGTCACTGTCGTTGTGTCCTTGGGCAAGACACTTAACCTCCCTTACCTGCTGGTGGTGGTCGGAGTGACCCATGGTACCTGTGTACGACAGCGTGTCATACACAGCCTCTGTCAGCGCGCTCCAGGGCAGCTGTGGCTATATCGTAGCTCATCACCACCAGCGTGTGATTGTGTGTGTGAACGGGTGAATGACTGGTTGTGTTGTAAAGTGCCTTGGGGGTTCTAGGACTCTAAAAGGCGCTATATCACATGCAGGCCATTTACCATGTTTTACCATCTGAGCGGAAAAAGCTAACTTTGTTTAATGATTGAATTATCCAGAGGTTCCTACTTTATTTAGAAACAATTTGATTCATCAGGTAAACCTAAATTTCCACACCTTTACAGATTAAAATCCATCCTCACAAGGTTGGCTGACTCATCATGTTGCTCCCACACCTGAGTATAGAGCCACACCTGAGTCTAAACCCACACCTGAGTGTAGACCCACACCTGAGTCTAGATCTTGACCCACACCCGAGTGTAGATCCACACCCGAGGGTAGACCCACACCCGAGTCTAGATCCACGCCTGAGTCTAGATCCACACCCGAGTGTAGACCCACATCTGAGTCTAGACCCACACCTGAGTCTAGATCCACATCTGAGTGTAGACCCACACCTGAGTCTAGATCCACACCCGAGTGTAGACCCACATCTGAGTCTAGACCCACATCTGAGTGTAGACCCACACCTGAGTCTAGATCCACATCTGAGTGTAGACCCACACCTGAGTCTAGATCCACACCCGAGTGTAGACCCACATCTGAGTCTAGACCCACATCTGAGTGTAGACCCACACCCGAGTCTAGATCCACACCTGAGTCTAGACCCACATCTGAGTGTAGACCCACACCTGAGTCTAGATCCACACCTGAGTGTAGACCCACACCTGAGTCTAGATCCACACCCGAGTGTAGACCCACATCTGAGTCTAGACCCACACCCGAGTGTACACCCACACCCGAGTCTAGATCCACACCTGAGTCTAGACCCACACTTGAGTGTAGACCCACACTTGAGTGTAGACCCACACCTGAGTTTAGATCCACACCCGAGTGTAGGCTCACACCTGAGTCTAGACCCAAGCTTGTGTCTTGATCTCAATCGGGCCGCAGAGGCAGCAAGCTAAGCAGGGAGTGTCATGACTCTCATTTTTCAGCCTTCATTCAGCTCAACTGGTCCCCTCACCAAGCTCCTGACAAGCCCAGTTTCCCTGGCAACCACCATCAACTCCATTCATCTCACCTGTTCCTGTAATCAGCTTCATCCACTTCACCTGCTCCTGACTCCTCAGCTCATCTCACACACCTGCTTCCCCTGCTATAAAAGATCCATTCAGCTACCCAGTCTCTGCCAGATTATTGAAAACATTTGCCAGTAAATTCTCCAGCCATCCACCCTGCCTGATCTCTGCCTCCGGACCTCATTTTTCTCCTGACCCCTGCCTTGAACTCTGCCTGCCATCACGACCCTCGCCTGTCTTCTACCACGTCTCCAGCCGGCTCCCTGTACCTGATTGTGCCGATCTGGTTTTGACTCACGCCTGCCCTCCGACTCTGTCTCCTGCCTCGCCCTCCTCTGGTAATTCCACAAAAAATAAAAGATTTTTTATATATATACTTTTACTGTGTTTGGCATCATTACGGGTCTTCTGAGTTCTATTCGTGACAGGGAGGCCCAGACTTCCTTCTCCCCAGCCACTTGGACCAGCTCCTCCAGGGGAATCCTAAGGTGTTCCCTGGTCAGCTGAAAGGCAAAGTTCCTCCAGCGTGTCCTGGGTCCTCCTTAGAAGACTCAAAAACTGTCAGTGTATCTAAAGTCTTAGCAATACCTTGTAACATGTGAGTGCATAATCAACCAATCAAACGTCCAGGGGGATAAGCAGAAGGTGAGAGAACTGGAGAGGAAGTTCAGGAGACAGTCTGTGCTTGCAAAGCAACAACTACAGGAAAAAGGTTGAGAAGAAACAAACATCTGGGAATGTAAAGCAGGCATGGCAAGGACTAAATAGCATGATGGGCCGCGCCGCTAAACCAGCTGTGACACGCTGAACAAACCCTGGTCTGTTAGCAGAAGAACTAAACATTTTCTTCTGCAAATACAACCAAAATATTTCAACAGGAAACCAAAACTGGAACAGTCAGACCAGCAATCAAAACCTCAGTGTTGATGAAAAACTGGTGACTTCCCTTTTACAGCAAGTCAACCCGTACAAGGCCCCGGGCCCAAACAGGCTCAGGGGCAGGGTGTTACACAGCTGGTTGTCGTCATCACCAGACTGCGTCAGCTTCTTTTGAACTTTAGTTTTGTTTCCAGTTTGTGGAAGGAATCCCACATCATTCCAGTTCCTAAAAAGGCAAATCCAAAAGACCCTAATGACTTCAGATTGGCGGCCCTTACAGCGGTGCTGTGGTAATGCATGGAGAGAGTTAAGAATAAGAATACCTTTATTAGTCTCTCAGTGGGGAAATTGCAATATTGCAATGGTTCAGGTACAGCAGGATAGCAGCAGTAGCACACAATATCACACAAGAGTACATAATAAGTTAAGATAATTATTGCATATGAATGTATGTGATCTCATGTCACACTGTGTGGGAAGCTGGACCCTCTCCAATTTGCCTGCAGGGAAAAATGAGGTGCAGAGGATGCAAGTCTGACTCTTAAATACAGTCGCAACAACCACGGACTCTGCCTGACCGCACGCTAGGATTTTTATGGACTTTTCTTCTGCTTTTAACTCCGTAAATCCCTCTGTTGGACTCAGATTCACCCAGCCTTGATTTTATGGATAAAGGACTTTTTAGAGGACAGACCACAACAGGTAAATGGTTTTATGTCACCAGGCTGGTTTTAAACACAGGACTCCCACAAGGCAGTGTTTTATCCCCACTGCTTTTCTCCATTTGCACTGATGACATCACCTGTAGCAGGGCGGGATTTCAGCTTTTAAAACATGCAGAGGACATGGCCCTGGTGGTCCAGGTGGACAGTGTGGAGGCTCTGGCTCAGGACCAACTTGCAGAAGATGACCTGACCACAAGTTTTAAGGAAAACTCACAGGAACTCAGCATCAAAACCAAGGAGTTGTGTAGTGCAGGCAGAGACAGAGCCACTGCATCTCAGCTCTTTAAACCGGTGATCATTCAGGGAGAGCAGGTTGAACAGGTGGAGAGTTTTAAATGTTTGGGGACTCAGATAGATGATCATCTGTCCTTTCAACAACCCTCAGCTTCCATTTACAATAAAGCCCTCCAGCGCCTCCATCTCATCAGGACATTAAGGGATTCTAATGTCAGGAAAAACATTTTAACTCTGATCTATAATCATAGAATCCATGTTAACGTTTAACATCACATCCTGGTACAACTTTCTCACTTGTAAGCACAAAAGTAAACTCCAACGGATCACACATCAAGCAGGCTAAATAACGGGTTCACTGCAAACCCCCTTTCCCTTCTGCACGAGCACTCTGTGATTAGGAAAGCCAGAGGAACCTTCTCACCCCCTCCACCATTCCTTCAGTCTTCTCCCATCAGGCAGAAGATACAACATCCCACCGTCCAAAACAGCAAGCCATAAGAAACCATTCATCTCTTCAGCAATCACAGCCCTCAACAGACACACAACTTCAATAATGATTTTATGTGTTTTAGGCAAATAGTTGTGTCCTTGGTTTTATGGCTTTTAAGCTTTTATCTGTGTTTTAGATTGTATGATGTTTATTGCTGTGAGATCTGCTCGAAACACCTATTTTTCAAACATCATCTCACAACACCATGGAGACCAGTCGAAATTTACAGCACAATTAATTCTGTGCTATCTTTGAGTCTGTTGGCTTTACTCCCACTGCTGAGTTACGCACTGACTTACAGAACTTTTTTTTAAATAAGATCTGTGATAGACTCAGCCTTCAGCATCTAGGACAAATTGTCCATGTAGATCCACCAAGTCCACCTAATTTCTCGGACTTTACTCCAGTTCAGTTTCCTGCCTTGGTGAAGTTAATCAGCTCCATGAAGCCAGCTGGCTCTCAAGTCGTCTCAAGGCACTTCACATAATAAACATTCCAATACAGGTCAATTCATTAAGCCAATCAGAAAAAAAGTTTCCTATATAAGGAACCCAGCAAAGTGCATTGAGTCACTGACTAGTGTCGGAGTCTTTACAGCAATCCTCATACTAAGCAAGCATGCAGTGACAGTGGAGAGGAAAACTCCCTTTTAACAGGAAGAAACCTCCAGAGAATCCTGGCTCAGTATAAGCAGCCATCCACCACGACTCACTGGGGATGGAGAAGACAGAGCAGACACACACACACACACACACACACACACGCACGCACACGCACACACAAACACACACACACACACACCAAGTAGTGTTTCTACGGTTACATTGTGATTTCTTAGTAAATATTCTATTTGGTGAGAGATAAACTTTATTGTATTTATCCTAGTGAATCTATAACTAAACGGGTCAACTAGTAGTAGCACATTCAATGTCAAGGAAAGTAAAGTGTTATTATCGGGAGAGGGAGGATGTTTAAGTGGTTAGCAGCAGTGTGCTAGCTGATGGCCCCCTCCATGAGGCTACTACAGCTCAGCAGAACATCATTGTAGCTTCTTCTGGGGAGAATAACACTTAGAGAAAAAATAAAGTTAACAACTGAAATAGCAGGAAAAAATAAAGTTAAAGAGCAGATTGTAGAAGAAAGTAGTCGAGTGTGGAAAGTGGTCAGTGTCAGAAATCTACAGTAGTCTATTCCTATAGCAGCACAACTACAGAGATAACTCTGGATAACCTAGCCTTTTAGATGGAGGCATGTTGGAGGCAGGGCAAGGGAGAGTCGTCTTCAACGACTGTACACTCCACCTCCCTCTACTCCCCCACTTGTCCAGATCTAGGCTAACATCAGATTTTAACCATAGACCCTATCAAATTAAAATGTTTTAAGCCTAGTCTTAAAAGTAGACAAGGTGTCTGCCTCACAGACTAAAGCTGGGAGTTGGTTCCACAAGAGAGGAGCCTGATAGCTAAAAGATCTGCCTCCCATCCTATTTTTAGATATTCTGGGAACCACCAGTAGACCTGCAGTCTGAGAGCGAAGTGCTCAGTTAGGAACGTATGGAACAATCAGATCACTGATGTATGATGGAGCTTGATTATTAAGAGGTTTATATGTGAGAAGGAATATCTTAAAATCTACTCTGAATTTAACAGGCAGCCAATGTAGGGAAGCTAAGACAGGAGAGATATGATCTCTCTTTGTAATTCTCATCAGAACTCTAGTTGCAGCATTTTGGACAAGCTGAAGACTTTTAACTACATTCTGTGGACTTCCTGAGAGTAATGAATTACAGTAATCCAGTCTTGATGTAATAAATGCATGAACTAGTTTTTCAGCATCACTCCTGGAAAGGATGCATCTAATCTTAGCAATATTCTAAAGGTGGAAAAAGGAAATCCTACAAACCTGTTTAATGTGGGATTTGAATGACATGTCCTGGTCAAAGATAACACCAAGGTTCCCTACTTTGTTCTCAGAGACTAATTTAATGCCATTCAGGTCAGGTGACTGACTAAGAAATTTCCTTTTCTGAATTTCAGGTCCAAAGATGAGAACTTCCGTCTTGTCTTGATTTAAAAGCAAAACGTTTTGAGCCATCCAATTTTTTGTGACTTCAAGACAAGCCTGTAATCTAACTAACCGATTAAGTTCATCAGGGTTAATGGATAAATATAACTGAGTATCATCAGCATAACAGTGGAAGTTTATCCCATACTGTCTAGTGGTTTTACCAATAGGAAGCATATATATATGTAGTAAAAAGAATTGGTCCAAGCACTGAACCCTGTGGTACTCCCCAAGTAACCCTGGAATATGAAGATTTGTCAAGTACATTTACAAAATGAAATCTATCAGACATGTAGGATTTAAACCAGCCTAGCGCTTTTCCTTTGATCCCTACAACATGTTCAAGCCTTTCTAAAAGAATATTGTGATCTACTGTGTCAAAAGCAGCACCGATATCTAACACGACTAGAACAGGCACAAGATTCTTATCTGAGGCCATGAGAATATCATTTGTAACTCTCACTAATGCAGTTTCAGTGCTGTGATACTCTCTAAAACCAGACTGAAATTCCTCAAACAGATCATTAGTGTTTAAATGCTCACATACTTGGATGGCCACTATTTTCTCAAGGACTCTGGATAAAAATGGAAGGTTAGATATTGATCTATAATTCATTGGGTCATCTGGATCCAGAGAAGGTTTCTTAAGTAAAGGTTTGATTACAGCAACCTTAAAATCCTGTGGTACATATCCATTTACTAAGAATAGATTGATTATATCTAGAATGGGGGCAGTGAAAAAAGGAAATGCATCTTTAAATAATTTGGTTGGGAATGGATCTAAAATACAAGTGAAAGGTTTAGATGAAGCTAATATTTTTGATAACTATGAAAGCTCAACTGGATCAAAACGGTTCAAACACAGATGAGGTTCTACAGTTACCTCTGATGCTGGCTCACTTACTGAGGAAGAAGAAATCGCATTAGGGAGGATGCTAATGATTTAGATTCAAATAGAATTAATTTTACTTGTAAAAAATACCATAAAGTCATTACTGCTGAGGGCTAAGGGAATAGATGGTTCAGAGCTATTATTCTGTGTAAGTTTGGCAACTGTACTGAAAACAAATTTTGCATTATTCTTATTCTCCTCAATTAGTGATGAAAAATAAGCAGTTCTAGCTTGCTGAAGCTTATTTTTATAAAGCACAAGACTATTTTTCCAGGATAAGTAGGACTTCTGGTGCGTAGACCACCATCTCTCCAATTTTCTAGTTTTGTTTTAAAGCTCGTGAATGAGAATTAAACCAGGGAGCCAACTTCCTGTCCCTAATTACCTTTTTTTAAGGGGCAACATCATCTAATGCCACACGTAAAGAGGAAGTAACGTTATGAACTAAAGAATCAATTTGTGAGGGGCTAGAAATAAAAATATTGCCCTCTGCTATGTTCCTCTGAGATGCTGAAAATAGTAAAGATGGAACAGTTGATTTAAAAGATGCAACAGCGTTGTCAGATAGAGATTGACTATAGTGAAATTTACTTTCATGTTTCGAGAACTCAGTTATAAAAAAGTCAAAGGTTATCAAAAAGTGGTCCGAGAGGACTGGATTATGTGGAAAGATTGTTATTTCCTCACACTCTATGCCACATATGTCAGACTCAAGGCCAGATGCGGCCCGCGGAGCATTTTTATGTGGTCCGTGAGATAAATATCAAAAATATATTAAATCTGGCCCGCTGGCCAATTTTACCGCAAAGACTTCAACTCCCATGATGCTTTGCGACGTCAGCGCGGAGCCGACGTGCCCCCTCCTTTGTGTTTTTTTCCAGCGCCTGCTGCCGGTGTCTGCAGCTCCGCTGTCTTGGACAAACTACACTCCTCTCGCTCAGCGCCGAGTTCAGCTATTTTCTGACGTTGAAGCCCAGAAAAGGAGATTCTAGCTGCTCAGTAATGTGTTCACGACTGAAAGAGAAAGTTTTCCAACTAACGTCCAGACAGAGCTGATATAACTCCAGCGAGCAGCGACACGCTCAAACCAGCACGGCTCTGTGGCTGCTGTCGTGTTTCTCCCCCGACACACAACAATGTGGTCAAGCTGCTCAGACATGTTCATCAGCACAAACCTATGTGAGCACCTGTTGTCATCTAATGTTGTCATTATTATGATGAAGATGAACAAAACAACAGGAGTCTCCTCCTCAGCTCAGATCAACCCCATGATGCAGGTATCTGGCTGGAACAGGTGAGCATCACAGTAAACCAGTGGAACAAACTGAGCTTTAAATATGTTGGTTTTATGCTCTTTTTCTGTTCCAAAGCATGAAAGTTAACAGGTGAGATATTGCATTTTCATTTAAGATAAAATTATATTTTTATTTTGTTGTTGGCCCGTGAGAAAAGATTTAAAAGATTTAAAGATTTTAAAGATTTTAAAAATGCTGATTTTACCACAAGTATTGAATACCACTGATGCCTTTTATTTAAAACTGACTTGCTCGTGTGTAATTTGGTTATTCCACATTCAGTGTTAATGCAGAATTAAGTTTGTTCCCAAATTTAAAGGTTCAAAATTGCATATATGTTGATAAAGAAAATGTGCAAATTTGCCGTCACTTTTTCAAAAAATATTAAGTTTGGCCCTCGACTCCATCCCAGAGTTTCATTTCGGCGCTGTGCGAGTTTGAGT